ATCGATAGATTCCTGTATAATATATGTGATCACAACTGAACCTTCTTGATTGCTAAAATAGTTTGGTCATTAGAGTTATAATAACATGACAAGCTGTGAAATAACACGACTTGTGTATATATTTAGACATTCTGCAGGCATATAAAACCTCTGTAGTGCTGCTGTTAGGTGAAAACAACCATTAAAAGAAAAATATATATACACTTATTCAGCCTCATAGCTGTAGCACACTAAATGGCTTCAGCTTTACAAGTAAATAGGCATGTACAGGTTCTTGATAAAATACAGACCGTGATATTTCTCTGAATCCCAAAACACCAACTACACCTGGGATTAGTGTTTAAACAGTCAATCCTTAACGCACAGCAGGTCAGGGACATATTTTATTGGCAGGATTTAATGCCACAGATTATATTTAACGTCATTCGGGATTATCAGAGTCACTGAACAAAGACGGTAAAACCTCACATCCATCATCCTCAGCTCCTTCTGACACAAAGCCAGTGAGCTGGGTGTGAAATGAATCTCAATAACAGGACAGAAATAACAGAAGGGTAGTGGTGGAAGGGGATTGGATGACTCTCAAGCTGAGTGTTTGAAAATGAGTAGAAACCAGACAAACTACTGCTGCACCCAGACTGCAGCCTATTACAGCACATACAGCAGGATAAACACAACAGCCTGCAAATTATGCAGGACAGAGCTGTGGAAAGATGGCTTCAAAGCTGTGAGATGGAAACTAAACGTAAGCATTTTCAAAAAACAAAAACTAAACTCACGCTACAATCCTGAAAACCCCAAAGACTAAAATTAGTCAGACTAATCCAACATTTAAGCTCCCTTACCCTTCTCCTCTCCCTGCGTGTGAGCAATTGTCCATGCAGCAGCCTCCACACCATCCTGCCAGCAATCTTGGTGTCTATGCCGAGTAACCGGAAGCCGTTGTAGTAATGCTTCAACTCATCCACGAACCTCTGATACAGAGACTTCTTTACAAGTGCCTTGTCCTTAACCGGAGCGACGGTGGCTGCGGCGGCTGTTGGTGCTGGAAGGGCAGCTGATGGAGGTTGGGACTGAGGCGCAGCAGCTGGAGAGTCCTTTTTATCTCCTGAAGAAGCATCGTGAGCAGCAGCAGCAGGTGGTGAAGTCTTAGTGTCCTCCTGCTTTATGTCCTGGAGCCAAACACCTGAGCTGTGTAGGGAGCGAGTGAGGAGGACAGAGCTGTGGCTACGACCAAGGGGGTGGCCACGGAAACAGTGATGGTGACCATAGCGGGAGGACCTGAGTGGGAACGAAGGCGAGACGTGGCAAGGAGGGACTACGTGGAGATAGGCTTTGGAAGACAGGGAGGAGCAGCTGTGCCTCTTGGATAACAAATATGATCCCCTGTTGGCAGAGAAAAAACAAATAAACTGCTTAGAAAGACAATACTCTCCTTAAATGTATGTTTTAGTGACGGATGAGACCATCAATAACACAACGTTATGTTACTGAATACAAACACAGAATAGCTTCTGGTTCAGATTACTGTAAATCAACTCCTCTGGATTTAAATCAGAGGAGGGAGTCAAATATACAGGCAGCAATCCAGAAGTGGACTCAAATTGTCCATCCGGGCCGACCGGATAGCTTTACAATATGTGAATGTTTCAAATTTCAATAAAAGGCTCATTTTATTTGCACTGTGGTGTGGTCACTGACAGCACTACCACACAGGAGATAAAGTTTAGATCTAAAATCATCTGTCGGTGAAGCTTTAAAACTTCTAAAAGCTCCACTGTGACATTTAAACAATGTTTGTTAAGTTAGTGGGTGATGAATTAAACGTAGATGTTTTCTGAGTGGACTTTTACTCATAAAAACCAGAAAAAAAATATATATTTCTGAAAAATAAGGAATTTGTGCAAACACCCCCCACAAAATGACCCATTTTTACTGCTCTTAGACTGGACTCTTATTTTGAAGGGACTGTCGTTAACCAGTAAGGTCAAGTTAATTTTGTGGAAACCTCTGACGTCATTCAGATGCCAAGTCAGACAGACTCTCTATTATTAATTATCCTAAATCTAGTATGTCGGGTTTGAACTAGCATGATAGTGAAGTCACAACATACAACAAGGTACCCTGGTGAAAACTTGAAAAAAGCTAATGTTTAGGGGGAAAAAAAAAAAAAAAAAAAAAGTCTATTAACCAATTCTGTATACTAAGGGGGACGAGGGGAAGTGATCTCAAACTTTACCTTTTATACGACATATCGTTTATCAGCTATAAAGCTGTCATTAAACAGCAATTACGCCCATAATAATAACAACCGAACAGAAACTACTTCCAGCTCGCAGGATTGTACACATGTCTGCGTTCACATTCACTCTAAAAATATTTGGATGAATCACCACATCACTCGTTCAGCTCCTTCTAGGAAACCTTCAACTGTTTCTGAAAATTACTTATTGTTTTAGTAACGCTTTCAGAGGGATACTGAATCTTCCTGCAGTCCCTGGCATTACAATGAACCTCTGTAATGAAACATAACTTCCTCCTCCAAACATCATCATTGCTACTATACACACATGAATGCAGAGGCCTTTTCTCACTTCTGTAGGCTTTTGTGTAAGTGTCAAGCACTGTTTGAGGTCACAGTTTACCTCCATATACCTCCAGAAAGAGCCTCTGCTAGCAAATACATATTAATGCAGTTTAAGAATGGACTCTTCACAGTTTGGGGAGCAAACATGAGGTCACAGTGTGCCCCCAGGACACTCCCCCGACCTCAAACAGTGCCTGCTACTAAATGTACATTAGGCACTGTGGGACCTAACACTGCCTGAGGGTAACCACCCTGAGAAGTAGGGGTGGGGGAAAAAATCGATACTGTGTAGTATCGTGATATTTTGTTTGCTAATAATGTATCGATACAGGGACAGCAGAAATTGATATTTTGTTACAGAAAAAGGTTTTTGTGCTCTGACTTCAGAGCATGTTGATCCTTTTTCTGAGCAAGAATCCTGACATTCCTTCACTGTCCAAATGTGTTTAACTTTTTTTATGGCAGCAATAAACATGACAGTTTACTTATTTTAATTTAAGACATGTTTTATTTTAATTAAGTTTAAAACTTTTTTATTTAATGTAAAATTATATTTTGTTTTAATTTACTTTCAAATTCTTCAGTTGCTGAAGGGGCTGCATAGTTTTCATAAATTGCATAGTTCAGAATAGCTATAATTGTACCAGATGGTTGCATTCAGTTAAGTTGGACTAGACTGTAATACAAACCGTTCAGTTTGTCAACAATAAAACTGAAATGAGAGAAAGACTGAGTGTGAGACTTTGATATTAGATAAAATGAATATTGATAAAGTTTACCTTTATGTACAGAATCTGAATATTGCAAAATATTTTAAAAAAATTGCAATAATATCGTATCATGCGTTAAGTATTGTGATAATATCGTATCGTGGGATGTATGGTGATTCCCACCTCTACTGAGAAGCTGTCCTGATGACTACACACCTTCAAGTGCTTTTCAGTTAACAATGGGAACTGTAAACAACTGCATACTTATCTAAGGACCCTTAAAACTCAACTTATTCAGAGTTCTTGCAGTCCAGACACAAAATCAGTTTATTCTTCCAACAGTTCTCAGAATTATGGAAAAAGTTCATCTGACGCTAATATTAGAAGAGGATGTTATCCCCCCCTCTGGTATGTACGCACATGAAACAGTGGCAACCCATCTTCTTATATTTATTTAATTTTTTTTTTTTTTAAATGCACACTGTTTACCTGCAGGATGCACAAAAAGTTTACAAACAAACTGACCTGCCCTTTCTGTTCTTGGATCAAGAATGGGTTATATAGTTAACTATATAACTGTATGACTACACTCTCCTGCAACACAGCAGACTGCAGCAGAGCGCTGATACTGACTATCAGTGACACGTGAAGTTATTTTGGTGACACTGACGTTTACACTGAAACAGCACAGATGCATTTTTGTTGTTTTGCACAGTAGCTACACATTCAGACCAGAGGACAACTACTTTAGATTAGCCTGAGTTTAGAGTTTTCTGTCTGCTTTAATGATGGTCCTGTTGGTGTCTCAACAATGTTTGTGTTCTTTACTTTTCCACTAAACCTTAAAAAGTGAAGCATATATTTCCTTCACTATATAAAAAAATGTTTTCTTAAAAATATGTGGGTCCTTATGTATTTTTGGCCCTTAAGCGATTTTTTTTTCTGTTGTGGGGTTTCTTTCCCTTACTTTTAGCTTTTGTTTTCCTCATACTTCTTTTTCCTCCTGTAGTTTTTAAAGTTTGTCCTCAGGTTTTTTCAGTTTGCTCCCTTATAAGTTAATTTGATTAATTTGAGCGTTTTCTCAAGCAAGTGTAAATATTATCCAGGTTTAAATGTGCCGTTTTAACTCGGTATCAGCATCCATCCTTGTCCAGCACTGGCTCGTGCTCTTTTGTTTACCTGTAGCAGAGCCCAACAACACGCCCCGACTCACAGTTTGCTCCAGCTTACACACAATAAGCAAAAGTATTCGAGCAGAAGTAAAAATAAAACTGTTAGGTACCAAAAGTCAAAGAAACCGTGTCCAACTGACTTACCTTGATCTTGTAACTGCGAGGAGCACCTGGTGACTAAAGACTGCCATTGTAGGGGCAGATTACAGTACTCTGTTAAACGGAAAAACAGCGAGGTTAGAGTTCACTCTTATGGGAACAGAAGTGAGACAGAAAACTATTGTAGTGCTAAAACTAACATTAAGACGACGGGACATCAAATGAGCCCGATATTATGTAACAACCGTTTTAACGTGACTACTCATCTGAGAGGTACCACAGACTTAACTCTACCAGTTTCCCTAAAAAATAATCTTTTTTTAGGGAAACTGAAAAGAAGACCTTAAGAAATGAACCCAAACCTTACTCCGCCTCTTTTTAAAGGCAGTAATAAAAGGACGTAACTTGATACCAAAACCAGGAGGGGTAAATTCCCTTGGTAAATTTCCGCCAGAGAAACACAGCCCTACGCTAGGCTAGCCGCTTAGCTAAAGTGAGCTAACCGGCTAACATAGTCGGTTAGCTGCGTTAGCTTAGCCGGCCGGTGCTAACCAAATGGCAGCCCACCAACCTCTAGCGTCGATGACCGAGCTATGGCTGCCGTAGCGGACAGGGCGATGTAAGGTTTCTCGGCAGGACGACAATAATATCCATCCACGGCACTCAATCGATGTAGAAGGGAACGACGAAAGTAACGGCCGGTGTAATGATAAACCCATTTACGGTGGGTTTCTCCGTCGAAAGCGCCCTCAGACGCGACAGGCTCGAGCTTCTTTACTGACAGTGTTTGTGGGTTTGTGCAGCCGTCACAGTCAGCTGCACTGAAAAGTCACACCGGACATGCGTAAAAGCTGTGTGAGAAGCGCCAAAGATCGTCTATGCTAGCAGAGGTGGCTCACTGTGTGGGCGGGAAAAAAAAGCTTTGCTCAGTGAAAGAGGGTGTTAACCTTCTTCTATTTATTCATTTTCAGTTTTTATGATTTATGGATGCTAGATGACATTAAAAAAAAGCACATATAAATCAATGAAATGAAACCATCTTTACTTTCATACTGATGCTGTCAAACGATTTTAATATTGAATGTGTTGTAATTAGTGTAACTAATCTGCAAGACAGTGGTGAGGTGCGCAGTAAGAGTGGCAGATGAATTCAAGGTGGGGCTGGGATTACATCAGGGATCTGCCCTGGGCCCCTTCTTCTGATGTCTCTGTAGACTATAATGTTTGCAGACAACAGTGTAACCTGTACTGAGAGTAAGTGCAAGAAAGCCTGGATAGGTGGAAGTCTTCTCTGGAGAGAAGATGAATGAAAGTCAGTAGCAAGAAAGAATATATGCGTGTAAATGAGAAAGAGGCAGGTGTAGCAATGAAGCAGGAAGGAGAAGAAGGACCAAAGGTGGAAAAGAGTCAAGCATCCAACATCTCCAGGATTAGTTGAACTGACATGTCTTCAGGATATAAGAGGATACATTTAAAATGTATCTTCATTAGACAAATACATCAATATATCCCATCTTTTAGACATAAAACAAAACTAAACTAGGAAAGCAAGCCAATGCTGCTCATTAAATTAGTTTTGTTTTTGTTTTTTTTGTTGCAATTTTAAGGTCTTGTTAATTCAGAAAAACTTGATTTGCCCTCTCACATCAAATCAACTCTGGATTGATTCTCCTTCATTGGTATGTTAGTGTTTAAACCTGCAGTAAGCCACCAAACAAGCTGTTCCTCAAGCTTTAAAGTTAACTAATGCATGATGGAGTCATGCACAGGCCTACTCACACGATTACTCTGAAACAACTTTTAGTTGCAGTGGTCATTTCTTTCGCTTACACTGGTCACTCAGAGACACCTTGTTGCCACAGTGTCAAACATTGATCAGTATTCCTTGATATTTATGTCAGACTGTTCGACTGTTTGCCTTTTATTGTGTGTTTTACTAAAGTGTGTGCTTGTTATCCATTGGGCTATTTATATTTCTTGCACAGTAGTTGGATAGAGCATCCACAATTCCAATGTATATGTACAACAAAATAATAAAAAGTAATTATTTTGTATTTGATTCATGCTAAAATAAAGCCACTGCTAATCAGATGCTTTCTAGATGGAATTACACGGTGGACCAAAATGAGACCGTACTTTTCTGTTTTATAGAGCGCATGTGTTTTACACTCACTGTTGTATTGCTCTCCTGACCTCTTCACTACATATTGATGATGTTTTAAATCACATATTTCAACTTTGGAATCATCAGTCCATAAAATCTATTGCCACTGATTTTCAGTCCAGTTCTTGTGTAATTTGTCAAACCGCAGCCTTTTCTCTCTCTTCTTTGAGAATGCCTTCATGACAGCGACTCTTCCACTAAGACCATCACTGATGAGGCTTCAGCGACCAAAAGATAGATCAGATGCATCCCATAGGCCCTGTGTGAAGTCACTCAGATACTCCTTATTTTGTCCTACACTTGTGTAGTTTCCTCTGGGTGTTTTGGGGAGGGGTTACAATTTTTTATGTAATAGCTATTTTGAAATCATGTTGATTCAAAAATATCTGTTAAACTGTGTTATATTTTGCATTTTTAATAGATTCAGCTAAAGAAATGGGGGGGGGAATGATGTGTTTTTGCATCAAGCTGCTACTAACAAAGGGCCTGAAGATATATTTTAAAATGAGTTCTTTGTTAAATTTTCTGTTATGTTTAGACACAA